AAATATTTTTTTTTTAATCGCCGAACTTCCCTGAAGTTCTGCAATTTTTACTGAAGATCCATTAACATTTCTGAGATTCTTGTGATTTTTTCAGAAGTCCTGTATTTTTTTTTCAAAGTTCTGTAGCTTTGTTCTGAAGATCTATGAACTTTTCTGATGTTGAATAATGTTTCGAGGACCCCCAAACTTCTGTGAAATACTTTATATTTCACTGTAGATTCTTGGACTTGTCTGAAGTTATGCGAATTTCCCTGAAGATTTGCAAAATTTCGCTTATAGTTTTACAAATCGATTTGAAATTATTTTTGCTTGCTTGAAGTTTTGAAAATTTCTTTGAACATTTATCTGAAGATCTACAGATCTCTTGTGATTTTGTTTTTATGAATTTCTGTTAATTACTTTTAATTTGTTTGTAGTTCTGTTCTCAAGATCTACGAACTACCTTGAAGCTCAAAAAATTTCTCAGTAGATCTCCCACCCTCTCTGAAGCTAAAAAAAAATCTATGTAGGCTCTCAGACCTGCTGTCTGGCATGCTTATTCTTATACAATACATGCTTCGTATGCTTCCTTTTGACGGTTGCCAGTCTCTCTTTTTCGGCTGTTTCCTTTTTACGACGATTTTAATCCTCCACATACAAATCAGTGAAGAGCGAGCGTGACAAGACTCTCTGAATAAACTTGTCTCGTTCGCACACGTTGTCTTAGCTGTCAGATGCTTGTCAAGTTCAGTGTCCTTAAACGTTTCAAGAAACTGGACGAAAAACTTCTATTGAATTACGAATGAAGTGATAATTGGAAAATTCCCTGAGTGGAACCAAAATTCCCTGAATATTCCAGGTTTTTCCAGAAAAAATAAAATTCCCTGTAAATTCCCGGTTTTTCATGTTTTTTAAGGTAGTAGACACCCTGGAAGTTCACGTGCCTTACTCATAGGTCTTTAAGCTTAAATTTTCCAGCATTTAATGGAACTTCCCTGAAGCTCTTGATCTTGGCTGAAGTAAATTTTCCTGAAATCTATTAGATTGCCCTGGAGCTGTCGAAAGTTACTCTTAAAGATCTTTTAACTTCCCCACATTTCTATAAATCAGAACTTCTTAAAGGTTTCAATTTTTTCTGATGATAATAGATCTACCGTATTAAATTCGACCAACCGAGCATGGTACATTCACAAGCTAAAATATGTAATCTAGTAATCCAGATGGGCATTTTGGTGCGCAACTTTTATAAGATGAGCATACGAAGATCGATGTTTCGATCATTTTTACTAATTGACCACTTTTATGGATGTTCCAGATCTCCCAGAAGACAGTTTCGTGACCACCAGTGAGCGCATGCTGGTCCCAGATTCAAATTCATTCATGTAGCATCACAACAAGTGATTTAATAAAAAATCGCTGGGATATTCGGATCTTCCCGAGGACCGTTTCTTGAGTACCTGGGTATGTAGTTGAATCTTAACCTCCAATCTTCAGTCTTCGTGTTTTTTTTTTCCTCTGTTCGGGACATAACACTACTGCGACCAGTAATTTGATGTATTGTAGTATATCCCGTGTCCTTAGTTTAGTACATGTCGTATTACTCCATCACTATTGAGAAATGATGAAGTATTCGATTTTTTTACAGTTGTCATTCTTGCCTTCATCGCAAGCAATTGATTCTAATTGAAAGGTTCCGCTATTTATACCCTTCGGAGTTGGAACACCCTCCAAAGGCACGCCCCTTTGTCAGTCAAAATTGGATTCCTTAGCAACAAAAATAAGCAATGACACCGATAATGACCATGCATCAGAACCATAGTCTTAACTAGGGAACAACGAATAGAAGATTAGGAATCACATATATGAAGAATAACTAACTCAATTTTTCCTTGTTTCAAGATCATCCTTGGTCCAGGCAACCCGAGGACTTATCACTATCAACAAGGCATAAAAAGTAACAAGGACTAAGATGTGTTCCTTTGATTACTGAAAAATCCTGTTCCCCTAGTTTGAAGTAGTCAAGACTAGGAATCGGTGGTACACACTTAAATTTTTTCGCCGAGATTCCAACAGCCGAGCAGTTCTGCAATTTATTTTGCTGAGATTCAGTAAAACAATTGCCGAGACTCAGCTAACAAATAACATTTTGCTGAGATATCAGCTAACAAACAGATATTTTGCAGAGATATCAGCAAAAGTAAATGCCGAGGTAATAGGCTGTTGGAGATTTTACCGAGCTAGATTAAGTGTGTAGATCTTACATCCTATAACGTACCACGAAAAGGTGATCTACCCACGTTACGGGTCTTCGTGGTTAGGTATATCAATATTGTCGAAAAAAAAAACAATCACGAAACTCTGCGATCAAATTCAGTTCGAAGTTCGACGATAAGTTTAGCAACTATCGGTGTGAAAGCCGAAAACGTAAATTCGCAATCGTGATAGCAACGACCGGTGCCTAAACAAGTTGCTTACTAAAATAGCAATGGCTAAAGTTGTCAAACTAGCAGCCCGAATAGCAACGCATTGGTGCGGGTGCTCTAAGCAGTGAAACAAGTAATTCAAGTAACCAGAACAGTTTATTAAATAGGTCTATTCAGCTTGATGGCTTGACAGAGAATGAATAAAATTATAATTCCAACATCTTCATACACACTTAGTTTTTTTTCTACCGAGTTCGGCTGTGCAAATCTCGGCAAAAAAAGTTTTACTGAGATCTCAGCAAACATTTCATTTGTTTTCTGAGATTCAGCTAAGCATTATCCGAGTCTCAGCAATCAAATGTCACTTTTGCTGAGATCTCAGTGAAACTTATTTTGCTGAGATTTGCACAGCCGAGCTCGGTAGAAAAAACTAAGTGTGTACACCACTATGATCGCTGGCTTCATCAAATGATTGCTTCGTTTCTCCGATCTAGGTTTGTTTTGATGTTCGCTTTGAGTCACGTCACGATTGAACTTGTTCAAGTGTTGCCAAATTTATGGCACAACAATTCCATTTGCCATTTTTTTCGGCTGCTAAAAAAAACTGGCAAAGTCACGCCCTATCAGCATAAAGTGCTTTGCTGCACGATTTGCAAATTGTTCAAAATTGGTGAACTCCCATTTTTGAAGACATTTCGAATTATTTGACTTAACATTAAAACCCCGTTCAAAGTTAAATCGTCATCTCTCGTTATTCCAAAAAGCTGAAAATAAAACATTAAAACAAGAACATGCAATTTTCCAAAGACAACACTGTGCACATGGTTCCAAAAACATCAACTAAACTGCAACTCCAATCGAAAAAAAAAAACATGCTTCCTGGTGGCGGTGTGAATGCGAAGACTAAATGGTTATGATAAGAAAATAAAACTCAAAACGATGATGATTTTTTTTAAAGATTTTCCGTTTCGTTGTATATTTGTCTTGCGGCTACTAAATATTTGCATAGCTTTGCAGTTTCTCTTCTTCTTTTTTCTACTAATACTAGGCATTGAAGTTTCGCTCATCATTATTTGGGAGTACACACTGTTGTCTATTGTCCAGTACAGCAATAAATATCTTACGGGTATATTATCGTTTTGTTTTTCTCTCTTTGCTCTAATATTATTGAACTAATCTGTTCGTACTTTATGGATTAAGAAGTCTTTTCGGGAATGAGTTTTCTACACCTAGTATTTCCTCTATGATTGGAGACGAAAAAAAAAAACAAATATGAAGCACTTTTTCAATAAACAGAACAGAAGATCATGAAATGTACATGGTTTCATATAAAAAAATAATATGAATGATGGGCTCCACGCGCAGTTAAGTCGCTTCCAGCGCAGCGTTGTTTTCATTCCGCCAAACCCTTACGTGACTAACCTATGTGAACAAAAGCATGCACAACCATGGCTGATCCAATTATCTTTTCACGGATTTTTGCTTTTCGATCCGTACTGATCCAATCTTTTGCTACAAAAGTTTTCCGTTATGTGCACCCTTTCGCTTCTTTCCATATCATCTAAAAACTACTGATAAATGTAACTAGATAAAATTATACTCTCTGTTCACGTTTCATTCAACAATCACATTATTCGAAATTTCGCGCTAGATTTCTACAAACTAATAATTTTGCTGATGCTTGCGATTTTTGCTTGTTTGCTACAATGCTTCACACTCAAATTCATGCAAAAAAAAAAAGTTAGCCTCTTAATCTTGTTCCGATTGTAAATTTAGATTGAAATTGGATTCTGGATTCAGCAATAATAAGCCAGGCTCTTTTCGGTGTTCGGATTGGAAGCATTTTTCTCACAGACAATTTGGCAACACTTGGGAAATTCAAAAAATAAAATTTAGTCTGGTTGGAAGAAGTTATCAGATCGCAAATCACTGGAATCTGTGTGTTTTTTTTTTGTTTTAATTTGGGGGAAACTTTGAGCTGGATTTATTTTTTTATTTTCGGAGCTTGGGAGCTGAGAACTTCGATGCTGACGAATAAATAATTGTGTTTACTTTACGTTTCTATCTACCTAGCTTAAAAAAAATCACTAAACATTAATGTATGAAAACACATCTCACAATTCGACAATGTAATAAACATTTCCGTATTTTGTTTAGCTAAAAGTCTATAATTTACAATCATCAGGAAAAAGTAAAAACAAAAGAGGATGGAAAATCTACTGGTTCCAAGGGAATGAATCTAATGCGATGCTACTTGAATGCCAAAGTTAGGTGAATTCCCGTGCTTTGAAATCGGATGGGGGGGGGGGATGCCTTAATTTGTAAAACTTCAAAAATCTAAAAACATAAAACACAAAACAACCGTTGTCGGTGTGTGATTGAACAGTTTTTGAATGCAGGGTTGCTAGATTGTGGGATTCTTCGATGAACGAAAAAAAAAAACGTTGAGGAGTAAACTATAATGAAGCACTCTAAGCTAAGTGTAGCAATTCAGGCGAGCAATAATGACAAAGAAGGGGTGAAAGAGAGAAAGAAGAGACAGCAGCAGTTGATTTGCTGATGCGTGTATGTATGTGTGTGTGTGTGTTCTCACAGTACCTCAATGTCGTCGTCGTGGTCGTCGTTCAGCTGCAGCTGCTGCCGGCCGTGGGCCGAGTTGCGGATGTGCTGTCGCCTAGGGTCGAACGCGTCCACCACGATCTGCTCGGTGCCCTTGATTTCCGCCCGACAGAAGGGGCAACCCTGTTGGTAAAAGGACCGAAAAAGTAGGTTAGATTTTTTTTGCAAGAATGTTTTACGTAGCTGGCGGGACATTAGCCATAAGTATCATAGGCATAAGTTCGTATGTTAGGCATACAGACGTTAAGTTTAACAGACGTAAGGCATAATGGATGGTAGGGATACTTTTGAACTAGTGAAATGGACGGTAGGTATAGTGCTGTCGCTAGTTCAGGGCTGGTAGCGACCAATGCTGTCAAACATAGTGATTTTAGTGACCATGTTGAAGAAACAAGTGACCAAATGGTGACTTATAGTTGTAAAAAAGTGACTAAAAAGTGACCTAAGAGACGAAAAGTAGTTGTTCTGATTTCACACCAAATAAATGTTTGATGTTTTAGACTTATTCAATTAGTATCTTATAAACACTAATGTACAATATTAGGGATGGTAGCGCTAATGCGATATAATAGTAGTGACTTTAGTGACTAAAATTACGGAAATAGTGACCAAATAGTGGCTTTTGAATAATAAATAAGTAACCAATAGCTATATTTATATCACAGACAAGCAGACACTCGCAAGTTGTTCATCGAACACGCATTTAACGGTAAATTTAAGAGTATCTTAGTTGGTAGTACCGCCACCTGCGGCACGCATAGTCAATTCCTTTGCGTTTGACGTTTACACACTACCGACATCTATTCAGCGTACTACCCACCACAGTGTACTCAACAGATGGCGGTAACGTTTTAGCGACGATGTTTTACAGTGAGAAATATTAAATGTGTTATGTCTGTTTGTCTGTGTTTATATGATGACTCAGAAACTCAAATAAGGTTTAATATTGAAATAAAATGTTTTTGTCATGGAACTTAAAATCACATTTCATGAATTCCTCTTATTATATCGAAACTCTCAACGGAATCTCCTATTAAGAGTATTTGAAGTGCAATTTCCGGATTTTTTAAATGTTACTGGTTGAGCGATATACGTAAAAATTAATGTATAAACCAATAAACCATAATAAACCAGCAAATAGGGTTAAATAGATCATTGCAACGATAGCATTTTTTTTTTTCGAAGATCTTGAATTTGATTCTGCCATTGAAATCTTTAAAAATTTTATATAACTTTGATAATTCGCTAAGAATATTTCATATCTATTTTTCAGAATGATCTCACGAACTTTTTTAGAATTATTGCACTCCTCTTAAACTTGTTTCTAAAACAAGCTTAACAAAAATAATACTGCATTCTGGAAATTCTTTGCAGAACAACGGACAACATTCTTGGAAATAGATTATTTTCGTAGTTGGAGATGCTGAACGTCAAATATCAGACTAAAAGTGGACATTTTAATAAAGTATACGGCAGTGTGAAAATTGTATATAGAAAGTAAAAAGCGAGCTTTAAACAATTTTGAGAAAGGTACGAATCAGTATCCCTTTTACCAAACTCATCCGTTGATGAGGGATAGTGAGGGGTGTTTCACCCGCCACACTGGTAATGATGATCGCCGATTTGCTCATGTACCTCCGACGTACGGAAACAGTTCTATCAATTGTTTCACACTCAAATCTCCATCTGACGTAAGCATCTACCTGATAGCTATACCTGATTCGTACCATCCTAAAAATGTCCTTTGCTCGCTTTCTATATACAATTTTCACACTACCGTACTCAACTCTATACTTTCATCTCCTCATCTATCGTATAAAATGTTCACTTTAAGTCTGATATTTGACGTTAAGCATCTCCTACTAAACCTGTGCGCTGCCGCGCCACGCCGCCGCTGCCGACGATTTTCATGCGACGCCGCCGCCGACGAAATTGAGCCGGCGGCGCGTCGCAGTAAAATGGTTCACGCCGCCGAAAAAAATTATGTCACGCCGATGATAAATCCGTAACATCTTTTCGGTAAAATGCATCTTGAACGTGTTGAAATTAGAACTTGTGTGCATGCTCTACTCTAAATTGAGTAACATTGCCAGAACTGAATTTTGAGTAAAACGGCTATGTATTTGTTGATGAGTTATTTCTACTCATTCCCACAAACTCCAAAATATAGGATAATGAATCAAAAATTCAAAAATGGGCAAACAATTCGTTTTTTTTTTCTTTTTTTGTTTAGGATTAATAAACCATTTATTTTATAGCAAACAGAATGCAAAACAATCCACGGCGGCTGCAATTTGCTCCATTTTCTTCTACGACGGAAAGGCAAACTTCGTATTTTTACATTATCACAACGCCATTTTTTTATGAGTCAACAAATGGGCTGAAAACTCAAACTCTATATCCACCTTTATTTATTTATTGTTGAGTGTTACTCAAATTCACAAATCACAACTACATGTTTCAAAAGTAGTTATGAAAATGAATACGTCTGTCTCATTTTTGAGCAACCTCAATTTAGCGTGTATGAGGCAGCGATTGTCATTTAGTTTTTTGACGTTTGTTCGCACTTCCTCTATCTAGCACATCAGCACACACTTACAACCAACGCAAAACAAACACATGCGGTGTAAGCGACAGCTGTAAAATATGCAATACCACCGCAAAGTTTGCTAAGAGGGTAGAGGGTACTGGGGGCAACCCCGGCGTAGTGGTTAACATCCATACCTCTCACGCCAAAGTCACGAGTTCAAATCTCACCCCCGGACAAGTCACGAATAACCCAAGAGTGTTAAAGTGACTATAATAATAATAAAAAAGAGGGTACTGTAAAATTTGTGAAATTTCATAGTGGAAACATTTGATGTCAGTCCCGTGGATGAATCATTATTTTTCCTCCTGATCGCACTTGTTCGAGATAGTGTTTCGGTCCGCTGATCAAACGTCAAGAATCTCAGTTTAGTGGTTTCGTCTCGATGAGCGAGCTCGAGCTGACTCTTTCTTTCGCTCGATCCGACGAAAATACCAGATGAATCAAACAGTGGAAAGCTGCAGCAACCTCTTCAAGTCTACAGGCAAAAGATGTGCGTCCTCCTTTTGCTCATAACTGACTGCGGCTGTGGAATAGTTCTAGCGACGTTTCATCACTACCTAAAGTCCCAACAACCACCCTTCTGCTTTCTCTCTGAGATAACCACGTTGGTCATGACGAGAGGGGCAACACAATAGTTGGGTAAAGAAGAATTGCATTATAACACACCATCGACTGGAAATGCTCTCGCAACGTGGGGCTTTAGGTAGTGATGAAACGTCGCTAGAACTATACCACAGCCGCAGTCAGTTATGAGCAAAAGGAGGACGCACATCTTTTGCCTGTAGACTTGAAGACATACTTCAAGTCTCCGCGTATTTTCAGCTTCTATTCAATTTTCAACTTCTATTCAATTTTCATACTGCCGTACTCTAACGGAACTATCCACCTACCCTCTTCTAAAGATCATTCTCTAGCTAATAAATTAGCTTCATGTTGGCATTTCCAACCAACTCTGAACACGTTGATATTTGAGTTTTTTTTTAAATCTCTTACAAGTTGTGCGGGATTCTACGTATATCCGAAAGACATCATCTTCAAAAACATAAACACAAAGATATATGACTACAATGCGTGTATCAAAGTAATAAAAACATATACACTGGAGTCGCTTTTTACGCGGGGGATACGTGCCGCGTAAAAAAAAGAAGAAGGGTCTGTGCCTAGGGGCACGAACGGAAGCTTGACGTAGGACCGCTAGTGGACGGAATAAATGTGAAGAGCATTAAGTTCTTTTAATTGATCAAATCAGGCATAACATTTGATAACGTCACATAAGCATTTGTAAACAAACCTTCTAAGGCCCTTTACACGCGAACTAAAGTACGCCCACGCAAACCAATACCACTTACGGAAAGGTGATAGTTGCCCCTATGCGATGATGTAGTTGGTTTGCGTGAGCGTACTTTGGTTCGCGTGTAAAGGGCCTTAGAAGGTTTGTTTACAAATGCTTATGTGACGTTATCAAATGTTATGCCTGAAATATCTATTATCTCAACTCTTTCCGGTTTTGAATTGTAGGCGATCCAAATTTGTAGTAATCTCTTTCAAAAAAGAAAGTTGATTACGAGAATCAATCAAAATCACTTGCACCCCTGCTTCCATTTTTGTGTGGTCGTTGGGGGCTTGTGGTTCTGAATATGGACAAACAAGCATAGATAAATTCTATTCCAACTCTTTACTGATGTAAGCTTGATGGCCCTGAAAAGGGCCGTTTTATTGAAGAGGACATCCATGGCCACTTACGCTTGGCCTGTTTAGTGTAGGTGACAGCATCACGGACCTCATTTTCCACGAACACCTTCAGCACACCTCGTAGATCAGACCGGAGATACGTCAGACACTGCCACGGCGAGCCAGACGACGGATGGTGGTTATCTCGAAGAATTTGCGATGAGGATTGGCACCTCCTTTGCCACGATCTACTGCTACTATTGCTGACCACGCCGTCCGAAGCGAAAATGAGCTGATTTCAGACAGCAGCGCTGCTTTATATCTTTTTAGGTTAAAGCAGAATGATGTGCAACCAAGTGGTATAAAAGCTACAAAGACTCCTCCCATTATGAGTAGTTTGCTATCAAGTAGCGACACTGGCTATTTTCTTTTTGCGTACACGGCGAATGAGAACGCCCCAAATTTGAGTTTAGTTCACTCATAATCGCCAAAAGTGTAGGAACTCAGCGATGAGTAAATTTGTCTCATGATTTCCTGTGGAAAACAGTCTCGGAGTAGTACCAATAAACTGAGTGAATCCAATCTTTACTTTTCTCAAATTCGGGAATTTTTCCCTGGAAAATCCCGGAAAAACCTGGGTAAACATGAAGAATATTTACTCATCGCTGAGTTCCTGCACTTATTTCTGAGATAACTAAACTCAAATTTGGGTCGTTCTCATTCGCCGTGATAGATATCAGCGCCGGTGGTTAGCGTGATTACCTCTCACCCCAGCAGGCCTGGGTCCAATCTCAGTCGGTGCCATCGGCATGTTCTAAGGCATAACATCTCTGGGAGCTGCCTCCCTGGCGTCGGTAGCATT